TGTTTTCTGAGCTGACTTTGTTAGTGGTCTTAAGAAACCAACAGTGGGCAGCCACCCAGGGCCACCAACACCTCCCATCATCTCTTGTTAGATGAGTAACTCAGAGGTGGTGGGCTCAGCAGCGAGGAGGAGCAGGGCAAGCTCCGGTTCACAATGGTTTCCCTGCCTGCAGACTTCTGCAGTCCTCGCTCTGTTTATCTGATTGCAGGAGATCAATCTACTTGGTGTGGAAACGTTGGCTGATAACTGCAGTCTGGCTCAGATGCCACCCAAGCAGGGACGAGCCCTCTCCGTAGCCCCATTTGTCATGCCAAGTCACTTTCCAAAACACTCATGCCTGTGTTTATTTAACCCAAGCTTTGAGCCAGGCCGTTAAGTAGACTCATGCGAGGAGTGGAGACCCATTCTGCCCAGCTTCTATAGTGTTCAGTCACATCTGCTGGCCCACTCTTCAGAAACCCAGGCTCCATCCAAGCTATGTGCTCAGTGCTAGGCACATGGGTCTGGTGAATCTACTCGCTACTCCTGCATGTGTTTATGTGTGTATGTGTGTGTGTGTGTGTGTATACGCCAGAGGCCAACTTTGCGGTTCCTCAGGAGACAGTCATTTTAAAGTTAACTTTTTTTTATGTGAATGTATATGTGATATGTGTGTGTTTGTGTGGTGTATGTGCCATGCATGTAAGGATGTGCATGTCCATGCATGTGTGTGGAAGGCAGAGGAGGTTGTTGGGTGTCCTGATTTATTACTCATCTTCTTACCCTTGAGACAGGGTTTCTCACTGAGCCTGGAGCTAGGCTGTCAGTCAGCAAGCCCAGCATCCTTCTGTCTCTTCCCTCACTCTCCACTGTGGTCACATGCTCCTTGCCATTGGAGTCTGAGTGCTGGAGTCAGCTGATCTGTGGTTTTCAATCAGTTTAGGGTATGGGTCCCTTTGAGAGGATTCAAAATACTCCCTAGAAAAACATTCCCATAAATGTTTTCATCTTTTATTAAGGAGAGACTTACTGAAGTCCTGCAATGTGCATGTCTACTCCATGTGTAGGAACACAGCTACAAAAGAGATGAAAGAAACCCAGATTTGATGTCCAGGGCTTCTCAGCTGTCAGCGGGAAGAGTAGATGCAGGAGGCAGGAAGTTCCAGTCAGATGCATCTCAGTGTGGCTGTTTCCTGGATTCCAACATTCTCTCCTGCAGTGGGGGAGGGTTCACAGGGCTCGTGGTGAGATTCATCAGAAACCCCTGGGACCAGGAGGTTCCCCCTAGGATATCCAGGCTGGCAGAGGAGACTGTCTATGGTGGTTGTTGTGAGCTATGTCAGGCGTCTCGGAGAGACAGTTTTCTTGAGTCCTCCTGCCCACTGCTGGGTGGGCTTCTCAGTGTTTGAGTTAGCTATGCTTCTGCTAAAGGAGCCCAGTAAACTGGTTGGTTCTCCAAGCTGGACTTTACCAAGATAAGTAAGACAGTCAAAATTCCTGCTTCACAGAAAAGTCTGACAGGTGTTCTAGGCCTATGGGCTGAAGTTGGATGCCCCAACATTACAGAGGAAGGAAACTTGGGTGGCTGTCCAGGAAGCCAGATGTTTCTGTTGTTTCTATAGTTTTGAAAGTTGTTTGTTCTACATTTTTTGTTTACTCAGGTTATATTACAACCTTCTCGGGTTTCGGATGGGGTTGGAGCTAGATAGATTGTAGTTACAGCCTTCCTTGTTAATAAATTCAGAAAAGAAGCTTACATAAAAGTTGTAAAGTTTATAAAGTTGAGAAACATAAAAGATTAAGTTGTTTATCTAAGAAGATGTTTTTAGATCTAAAATATATTTTTAGGATGATCATACAAGTAATGATAGAAAATGGTTTAGGTATAAAACTTTGGACTCCCAAGATAGGATAGATAATGGAGTAATTTTTCTGAATTTGCTAAATACAAATGGACTGGACATTGTGAATGTAATTCTTACTTGATAAATGTTCTTATTGTATATAATTTTTTACAGTATTAGAGTTAAAACTCTTCCTTTTTATTTAGACAAAAAGGAGGAAATGTAAGCCAGGCTGTGGTGGCTCATGCCTTTAATCCCAACACTCGGAAGGCAAAGTTAGAAGGATCACTGAGTTCAAGGCCTACCTGGTCTACAGAGTGAGTTTCAGGGTAACCAGGGCTACAAAGAGAACGTCCTGTCTCAAAAAGCCAAGAAGGGGGAAGGGGGAGAATGTTGTGGGATATTTGTACACTCTGTGAAGATGTATTGCTGTGATTGGTGTAATAAAAAGTTGACAGCCAATAGGTAAGCAGGAAGTATAGGTGGGACTTCCGGGCAGAGAGAGAATTCTGGGAAGAAGAAAGGTGGAGTTACTAGTCAGACACAGAGGAAACAGGAGGTGCAAGATGGAAGAGGGGTAACGTCATGTGACAGAATGTAGATTACTATAAATGGGTTAATTTAAATTCTAAGAGCCAGCAGAGACGAGTCTAAGCTGAGGATGAGCTTTCATAATTAATAAGTTTCCATGTCATTATTTGGGAGCTGGCTGGTGGGACAGAGAAAGACTTGCTATACCTCAGTGAGAGGTCTCACATGGGGGTTCAAGAAGGACATGGGGTCAGATTGTTGGGGAGTAAGTCTATTAGAACAGTTATTCATGCCACAATCACACAGACAGCAGCATGGTGGGGCTCTGAGGAGAGTTCAGGCCCCAGCACCAGAAACAGACAGCACAACAGACTTTGAATATTGGGACCAGAGACTCCGTGGCAGAAGTGGGTTCTGTCTGGCGATGGAGCAGGGATGGGAGGTGGGGTGTTCACAGCACAAGCTGCAGCCAGCACATGGTGATGTCTGGTGGACCTGTGCAGTGTTGGGCAACAAAGTAGGGACTCAAGCAGTCACTGAGGCCTCCCGCAGCAGTTGACACCTAAGGCAGGTGCTGAACACAAGATGAGGTGTCCACCCAGCCCTACCTCTGGGGCCTCCAGGACATCCCCACCGGCTTCCACAGACCTGTCGAATGCAGCACACTCAAAACTGGACTCAGGACCTGCTCCCATCTGCTCTTCAACTTGTCTTTCCATCTCACCGTGACGGACACCGGAAAGCTATACTGTCTGTTACAAGGGTCTGTTAGGACCCTCCTGGCCGCTCGGACCCGGCCCCTCCTCCTACTGTGACTCGGACCCTGTCCATCTTATGCACTTTTCCACTGTGTCTCTGTCTCTGTGTCTGTTTTTGTCTCTCCTCTCTCTCAGGTCTTTGCTATGTGACTCATGTTGGCCTCAAGATTGATTTGTAGCCAAAGATGGCTCTGAACTCCTAATCCTCCCACCTCAGTCTCCAGGCTGCCCCAGGCGTTTCTGCACACACTGGTCTTTAACAGAAACCCATGGGAACACACACGATGCTGCAGTTCTAATTGTTCTCAGCTGAATGCCAGGTAGTTCGTGCCTTGCAATCTTTTTACCAAGTACAAGAGAAAGGGCTCAAGCCACACAGGTGCAACTTAAGGAGCTTTCGCCTTAGCAGGCCTCTGTCCCTCACGAGCCGCCACACCTCCGTCCTCAGGAGCAACACCTGGACCAAGAGATGGACCATTCTGGTATCCGTAAGCGCGGACACTAGGAAAACCTTCCTTATGCCTCTGTGCGTGCTGTGCACATGACTCTTGGTCACTGTTAATGTCCGGAGTAAAATGTCCCCAAGGCCTGCTGTGTGGAACACTGGGACCCCAGAAGGTGGCAGTATTTTGGGAGGCTTTCAGACAAGGGATCTGGCTGGGTGTGGGGTTATAGGGATGGGACTTCAGGGTTCCAGGCTCCCTCTGCTTCTGGCTTGTTGCTTGACTGTGCAGAGTCCCAGCTGCAGGCCCTCACTACTAGGACCCCTGCTTTATTCCGGGCCACGATGGGCAGTAGCCTCACAAACTCCAGAGTCACAAACTCTTCCTGCCTCAAGTCCCTTCTGTCACAGTGAGGAGAGAAGAAATGAGCGTAACTGTAAGAGGACGCTTGGTGTGCAAGAGGACGCTCTCTGTGCAAGAGCACGCTCACTGTGCAAGAGACGCTTGCTGTACAAGAGAACACTCGCTGCATGCTATTTCACCCTCTCCTTCAGGGCCAGCAACCCTGGAAGAGGCCCTCTGTCACCCCCATTTTATAGGTGAGGAAACTGAGACTTAGTGCAGACTCAGTTTCCCTAAATGTTTCCTGCTGGGCAGTGGAGGGGGCAGGATTTGAACTCAGGGCTTCCTGACCTCTGCATCCTTAACACATCCTCTAGTCTGGGGAAGAACTGGTTCTCCATGTGGGTGCCAGCTCTGCTCCGAAGGCAGGTTCTTTTGGGTGGCCGTGGTGCTGGGGGGGCGGTGAGGTAGAGTGTGAGGCAGAAGGCGTTTAAACACGGAATGGTTGAACAACTGGATAAAAAGCAGTGAGGCTTACATCATCTACTTAGATCATGGCTTGGAAGGAAGAAAGCTGTGGAGAAATCAACCATTTGAACTCCCCCTCTCTTCCCGCTGCCTGGCTGGGCCTCTGCAGCACATGACACTTGGCCTTTCTTTCAGCAGTACTTTCTTGTCTTTTACTGTGGTAGGGGGACATGGGAGGAGATGCTGTCTTTTACTGGGGTAGGGGGACATGGGAGTTATGAACACAGTGCAGGTGGGGAAGGCACCTCTCTGCCTTTGGGGAGATGTGCGAGATGGATCCAGGGCTCTGGCAGCTTCTCCTGGTTCACGCCTGAGGGGCTCTGAGTTGCTCCTCAGTGATTTATCGCGTTCTCTGCAAACTCATTTTTTCCTTCTGGGTCCACAGAAGAGCTGCTGTATTCCCAAACACATTTGCACCCTTAAAACTAACACATTCAGTCTTGTTGCCGCCGGTGGCTGCGAGCAGGCCCAGGCTTAGCTATTTTTGGGCTTGTTTCCAGGAAAATAATTTACTTTTCGTGGTGCGGTCTGTCAAGCCAGCGGAGTGATATTTTTCTCGTGACGCTGGACAAGTAAATCCTAAAAAAAGCCGAGGATTTAAAACCTTGCCAGCAGAGATGGCCCAGGGCCGGGCTTATTTTGTCGATTAAAATAAAGAGAAGCCCGAAGATCCGCATCCAGCTGGGTCTAGCGGGGTCCTCAGCAGGCAGGACCGTGGAGGAGGTGACAATCTCGACTCCGGCCGCACGCGAGACAGGGCAGCTGGGCGCGTTCTGGAGGCGGAGGCGGAGGATCAGAAGTTCAAGGTTGTTCTTGGCTACACAGCAAGTTTGGGGCCAGCAAGGGCTACACGAGACCCTGTTCCAAGCAATCGACTTTTAACAAGGAAAGACTATCTTCTGAGGGTTGAGGTTAGCCCCCTGTCCAGAGTCAGAAGTTTGCATAGTCTGCAGGAGGACGAGTCGGATTCAGCCCTGTGAGTTGGGTCACGTGATCTGCTCTGCTCCCTCACCTGAAGAGCAGGAAGAATAAACGGCCTCCTCTGGACTCTCGTGGGTAGAGTGAGGACAGCGGGCATGTGGAGACTCACAATGTGCCCAATACCTGGAATGCAGATAGCGTGACTGATGCTCCAGCAGTCACTTTGGAACGTGAGGCAAACTTGAGTTTGTTGATGGAAAAAAGCAGAAGGCTCCAGGGCTTTGAAGATGGAGGTATTCACTGATAGTGCTTTTCTGAACTTCCTTCAGGTGGAAATATGATCCGCTTACTGCCGGCCCAGGAGGTGCAGGGCCCGGGCTTGTAATACTTGTAATACGAACCATCGATTCCTTCAGTTTTTGTGTCTTCTAAAATTAGAAGACATAAGTGGTTTTTCGTTCATTGTGCCCGACACCTGGAAGAGGCAACTTCAGAGAGAAAGGGTTTGTCTGGTGCTCAGTTTTCCGAGGAGGCTGTCCAGGGAGGAGGAGAAGGCTCGCCGGGAGCTTGCTCGCCTCAGGGCAGGAGGCAGACTGGAGGTGAAGCCAAACTGAGCATTAAGCCTCAAGGCCTGCCCACCATCTTCCAATAAGGCTCCTCGCCCAAAGTTTTCAGCGATTTAAAGAGGGCTTCCTGAAGCCACCAGCACGGAGAGTCACAGCCCAGAGGATGTGGGGACAGAGCCACGTGAGCATCTAGACGGTGAGTGCAAGGGACCTGAGGCCTAACCGTGTCTGTAGAAAAAGGGAACAACATAGGGTGTGTGTGTGTGTGTGTGTGAGTGGTGTGTGTGTGTGTGTGTGAGAGTGTGTGTGTGTATTTGGTGTGTGTGTGTGAGAGTGTGTGTGGTGTGTGTGAGAGTGTGTGTGTGTGGGTGTGTGTTTGGTGTCTTATGACACACTTCCTCCAATCTGAAGCCTCTCTTGGGTTTCCGGCTCTCCACCAAGGTGCACAGGTTTTTCCATCTCCTGTATTAGTCCCAGCATGGACAAGGTTCTGCCTTCACACAGTGGCTCATGCAGGAGCATCACTGTGAGCTCCCAGATGAATCAGGCCCAAGGTTCCTCAGACAACTTGGCTCCTCCACGACAGGAGTGAGCTCCTGCCTTTGGCCACAGGCCCTGGTCCACTTTATTGCCTGCCCCTCACTCCATGGCCACTTTAACTCCTGGGTCATGTTTGGCTTCTGGTGACTCTGAGGCTTCTGTGGCTACCATGCCTACCCTGTACCAGCTGGGATCCCCATCACTCACATCTTCTTAACCACATTTTTTATAAATGGAATCCATAATTGGGGTCTGATGACACAGACCTGGTTTTTTTTTTTTCCTTTCAGTTTCTTGGGAGGCTGAGACAGGAGGACGGCAAGTTCAATGCCAGTGCGGGCAACTTATTTAGACTCTGTCTCAAGTGAAAAGTGAAAAGAAGACTGGGGTGTAGCTCAGTGGTAGAGCTCTTGCTTGGTGTGTGAGGTCCTGGGTTTAGTCCCCAGGACTGCCTACCGTTCAGAGTACACAAATCAGCACGGGGTAGTAAAACATGCCAGTACCACAGCATGTCTGTGGGAGTGGGTGCGGAATACTCTTCCCTTATTAGTTGACACGTCTCCTCTACTCGTAAGTAGAAGATTCCAGAAACAGAACTAGAGAAGGGGCCCTTCCCCTTCCTTCTGCTCATAGTCATTGCTCATTAGCACCCCAAGAACCAGACAGCTTGCTTCCTGGTTTCCCTGCCTAAGAGACTTCTAGATCATGTGTGCACTCAGACTTCTCTAAATGAAGGGTGTAGAAGGACTTTTCTTACCCACCTGTCAGTTCCCAAATAACGAGCAGAGAATTACTGTTATTATAAATGCTCAGCTGGTAGCTCAGGCTTGTTACTAATGAGCTCTTGGAACTTAAACTAACCCATTTCTATTCCTCTCCATTCTGTCACGTGGAGTTACCTCTTTTTCATCTTGCACCTCCTGTTCCCTCTCCGTGTCTCACCCGTGATTCCTCTCACTCTGCCCTTCTTTCCAGTGTCCTTAGTCTGGTTTTCCTCCTAATTCTATCCTGTCCAGCTGCTGGCCAGTCAGCTTCTTTACTAAACCAATCACAGCAGAATTCACACAGTGTAAAGATTATATATGCCCCATTTCCCCCTTTTTGTCTAAATGAAAAAGGAAGGTTTTAACTTTGACATAGTAAAAATTATATACAACAGAAACAGTTATTAAATAAGAATTACAGTTACAATATCCAGTGCATTTGTATTTGGCAAATTTAAAGAAAATACTATTCATCTTATCTTTGCGAGTCTAAAATTTTATTCCTAATTTACCTTTTATCGTAGCTTAAAGGGAGACTTTAAGTCTAATTATTGAGTCTTTAACTCTACCAAACACCCTAGAGGGGTGTAATGTTACCTAACGATAAGGACATCTGGCTCCTTGGACAGTCACACAAAGTTTTTCTGTAACATTGGGGCATCCATCTTTTCCCTACAGGCTTAGTATATCTGACAGACATTTTTGAGAAGCAGGGAATTTTGAAAGATTGTCCTACCTTGTTTTGGCAAAGTTTAGCAGCCACTTTTTATTATTGCATCCTGCTAGACCAGTTTGGACAGTATATTGTCAGCAACTGAGGTAAGGGAAGTTTTTTGCTCAAATGGTTAGCTTTTGCCATAAGGAAAGCAAACTCCATGTGGAGGCTCTTTGATGCCTGCCATCCTGTTTTTGAAGTAAATTGGTTCTGTCAGGAGCAGACATGTATCACTGTCATGAGAAGCCTTAGGTGTTTAAATATATTAAATGCCATATACTGTAGGTCTTTGAGGTATTTACAGACCATTTATCTATCTAAATATATCTGTGTATGACCTTGAAAACATACCTAACATGACTATAAGTTTGACTTTTCATAGATGACTATTATTAATCTATAGTTCTTTATTATATATTATATTTTAAATGAGCTGCATAAACATAATACACTAAACAAGAATAGAAACATTGATATAGTATAACAAAATTAACTTTAAATTTGTATCAATAAACCAAAATCCATACTAATACAAAATATTTTGAGATTAATAGTTTTTTGGATTAAAGTAGATTCAATAATCCACTCTTTTATCTCATCATTTCTATATCATATTCCCTTTTTTCCTTTAGAAAGAGATCTTTGAATTTAACTCTTTTGTCTAGGTTTTTTTTTCTATGACCACTAACAACTTGTAACCACTCCCCCCCCAGGTAAAATGATAATAAACATCCATAATCCATCTTTTGGGAATGCAGATGTTGTCTTCTCTAGACTTCTTCCTGTTGTTTGGGGGTGCTGGCATCTTTGGGGGAACCTTGAGAAAATCAGGATAATTGTTAAGTCTTGCCTGGAGTAGTTTGTGAGGCTCGACCATCTCATCCAGCATCCTTGAAGCTGTTCTGGATGTAGAACTCAGAGGAAACTGCAACAGAGACATTTTGAGATGCTGATCACCTGGGCCATTTGTTTTCATCGGTGTCTGGTCTCCTTGTCTTGAAAATATATGAACTTTTGAAGTTAACATACATGTCTGCATTAATACAGCTATAGACTGTGTGTTGTACACAAGTCAGCCAAAGGTGATTTTTTTTTGTTTTGTGTTTGAGCAGGTAAAACATACATCACATATTTTCCTAGGTTTATTTCTTTATGTCTGTAGCCAAGATTTTTAAGGGGTCTCCCCAATTAAACCTGATCCATATCAACCTGGAATGAATCCATAGCTTTTCATTTCCTGTGAAAATAAAAACATAACCTCTTCCTCAAAGTACATAACATATTTTTGACTTCCATGTTGAAGTCAGGACACTTTAAGAATATACAGGCTGGTTTAACTCAGCAGTTTGATAACCCAATGTGTCTTAGCCACTGCTGTTCCTCCATCAGCAATCAGGAAATTCAAAGACAACACAATAACGTACAGAATACAGACTCCTTATGTGTGGCTTTCCCCCTTAACATTACTTTGTTCTTCCTTGAAAGACTTGACTTTATTGTGTTTAAACTACTTTGTCTTTGAGACAGAGTTTCTCTGTAGCTTTGGAGCCTGTTTTAGAACTTGCTCTATAGACCAGGCTGGCTTCAAACGCACAAAGATCTACCTACCTCAGCCTCCTGAGTGCTGCAATTAAAGGCAGTTTTTTAAAAATTATTTTTATTTTATGTCCATTGGTGTTTTGCCTCTATGTAGGTGGAGGCTATTTGTTCATTTCCTGGTCACCCAGACCTGAAATAATCACACAGAACCTGTATTAATTAAAAACACTGCTTGGCCTATTAGCTTAGGCTTCTTATTGACTAACTCTTACATCTTAAATTAACTATTATTTTATATTTTACCACAAGGTCCGTGGTTTACTGGTAAGCTTCCAGGGTGTCTGTCTCCTTCAGCAGCTACATGGCATCTCCCTGACTCTGCCTTCTTTCTAACATTCAGTTTAGTTTCCCCACCTAGCTCTATTCTGCCCTGCCACGGGACAAAGCAGCTTCTTTATTAACCAATGATAGTAAAACATATTCATAGCATACAGAGGGGAATCCCACACCACCTCCTCTTTTCTGTCTAAATAAAAAGGAAGGTTTTAACTTTATCATAGTAAAATTAAATATACAAAACAGGTATCGAGCAAGAATTATAGTTACAATATTTAGTCCATTTACAGTTGATAAATTAAGGAAAATACTCTATCATCTACAGAATGCTGCCCATAGAACATTTGGGGCTGATGGCCACCACCCACTTCAGGTCCAGATGCTTGTGTGCCCATTTGGGTTCAGGAGAAATGTAGCTGAGACCATTCCCATTGCTCAGGGCCCCCTGCCTGGGCAGGCTACAGGTTCAGCTTTGCTAGGAGTGCACAGGCAAGAGAGCATGGCTGATTCTGCTTTTGTTTCCACAAGAGATGAGAACCTATGGATTCCTTCCAGACTAATGTGGTTTGATCAAATGAAACCCCCCCTGAAGCAATGGCCCAGATGGTCCAATATCAATGACAGCTTCAGGACTGCTGGCTGAGGTGGACCTGCCACACAGGATACAGAATACAGAGCGTGACTAACAGCACACCCAATAAGCAGGAAATAGTCTAGAGGACAACACCCAAATTCCCAAATATTGTTTATAAATGTTTATTTACATTTAAAGAGGCATATGCTATAGAGATGAATACTTTGCATTGGTATGGATCTTGGTTTATTGATACAAATTCACGGTAAATTTTGTTATATGTATATTTCTGATCTTGACTGAGATATTGTGTTTGTGCAGTTTATTTAAAAATGTAATCTATAATTAAGAAATACAGGCTAATAGATAATCGTCTATAATAGTCAAGCTTGTAGTCATGTTAGTTGGGTTTTCTAGATGTACAGAGATATATTTCAGATGGATAGGTATTCTTCAAACCTTTCAAAGACTAACAGGATATGGCATTTTAAATATTTTAAGAAGTTAGAACTTTTCATGACAATGAGACACGTCTGTTCCTGGTAGCACCAATTACATCAAGAGGATGATGGGCATTGAAGATGCTCCTTATGGAGTTTGTTAGCCATTTGGGCAAGAAACTGCTCTTGCCTGGACTGCTTGATGGCATGCTGTATTCACTGGACATGCAGGACCCACAAAAACATGACTGCTAAACTTGCCTAACGGTGAGACAGTCCTTCAGGGTT